ACAGGAATATCTTGTCAGAAAATTACCCCTTTTTTCCTGAAATACCTAATGCCTTACAGAGCAAAACTATGCTGCCCCTGGCTGCTTCCTGTAGTTTTCTCTTGCTACATTTTATAAAGGGAATGAGAAGTGTTTCCTGACACAGCTACAATTTGGTACTCCATACCCTGTGAGCTGCTGCTTGGGGTTTCCAAAACTGCACTGATTTGGTTTTTCTATGTTTAGGAGCGGTAACAATGCTGTACGCTTAGGTGGGAGGATCAGATAGTAGAAGTGCAACTTTTCAATTAAATACTAGATTTACTTTTCCCCTCATAATTCTCTGTTGTAAAACAAGCTCTTATTTTTTTTTACAGTTTGCAGCTAACTAACTAACTCGTGGTTAGCCCTTCCAAGTTATCTGCTTTGAGTGTTTTTAACGTCCTTAATTTCTGCCGGCTCTGACCATTCTAATTTGCATGGCAGCTGGCATGGCAAGTTTGGGATCCAGATAGATCAAACAAAATGAAGGTTTCGGTTCCCAAATAAAACTAGAGCACAGAATAGGTACAAGAAACTGTTTTCACCAAGAGCAATACTGACAAGAAGAAGTTTTCTTGTGATACCTTGTAAACTGTGGTATGCAGCAAATTAAATTGTATTAGCCGTTCGTGGGAGTTTTGGCTAGGACTTTTGTGCTGCGTTAGATACTTGTTCTTCTCGCGTTGTTTGGGAAAAGGCCATAGGTGCTACTTTGGCATTGTTATAATTTTGTATAATGCTCACTTTCAGTGTTTAAAGAAATGTTGATTCCTAAGTATCAGTGCTGCTGTGGATGGCATCGAGGCCCAGCTGAGGGAGTGCAATCACAAATAAGTTTTAGAAAACTTCTTTATAAAGGAACTTCATAAAAGAACTGCATGAAGTGTGATAGAAGTTGAGAATGTCTGAGCTAACAGAAAATTCTTCACTATGCATTGTGGAATCCAATCAAGTGTTTTGGCTTTCCCATCTTCATGGTGGATCACTGATAAAAATGTGATTCTGATGGAGTTTGGTTTAGAATGTTTTTCTGTTTTTACAGTTGGAAGTAAACATTTTTAAATGGCTGCTCAGGTGTTTAAAATGTTTACATGAAAGTGGTGAGCAGAGCTTTATTTCTTTTTGTCTCCTTCAGGCTTCTGGATGCCTATGATGAACATCAAGCCCTTCTAAAGGAGCAGGATTCTTTAAAAAGAAGAGCAGAGAATGGGTAGGAAGTCTGTTCACCTGGGGGGATGAACTAACTTGGTGGATGATGCATTAGGGGATGGCTGGAACACATGCTACACTGAACTACAGCTGATACACAGCACTTGAGAAATGCTTTAAAAAGAGTTCAGAGAACAATCTCAGAGACTGTGGGTTTTCTTTAATCTATGAATATATGGTAGGGGGTTGGAACTAGATGATCTTCAAGGTCCCTTTCCACCCAAATCATTCTGTGATTCTGTATATACATATACATTTTTCAACTTTAAACCTACTGCTTGCAAGAACAAAATCACTGTTTTTTAATCACTTAAAGTATAAAATAAATAGGGCTATACTTTGGCTGAAATGTTTGGAAACAGATTTATTGGAAAATAACTTTGAATTACGTATCACAGAAAAATGAAACAGTAAAAATAACTGAGTCTCTAAGCGGAAACATGCTTTTGCTGTCTCAGTTTGAGCACCAGAACAATTTAAAAACCAGACTGTTGTTCTGAAGCACAACATACTACTGTCTCTCAACCAAACTCGGTTACCCTGTTTGGACAGGGCACCAAGTTTAAAAATATGACTTACTCTTATCCATTATAACATCTCTCACACGAAGACCTGCTCAGAATTGAATTGCCACTTACCAGCAAATATTAACTTCACAGATCAGAGGAGCCAGATGAAAAGAAAATGCTCACAGATGACCCATCTTTGGCATCAGCGCAGATGATGGATGGCGACATGCAAGTCAATCAGGCAGCGTATAACTACAACGCCTGGTACCAGGTAGGCGTATGCGCGGTGACTTCGTTTAACACGTGCAGTTGGAATGTTTGCACGTTCTGGTTTTCCCAGTGCCTTTTCTCTATCCGTAGCCTAGTGTCAGCTGGCGAGGAAAGCTTGGAGTAAAGATTTAGCTCCTGGTTTTGTTGATTCCTCTTTGGCCTGTTATGCAAGCATAAAATATTTCTCTCTAGTGCAGAGCCAGGCTAGCAGTTTGGTGGCTAGCCCTTCATGAGTAAGGAAGCGTGACAGCAGTCGAGGACATTGGCTAAGGGCAGTACACCTGCGCTGAAGTGTTTTGCCCAGGGAAGTTGCCTTGGGATGTCAATTTACAGGGTGGTTCCGTAGTTACTTTCTCCAACTAGTAGTTCCTGGAATGTCAGTACGGGTTCTAATGCACTGGTGCATAGTGCGTGCAAAACCAGTCTGTGCAATAGCTTGTCTCTTGGGGCCACTCTTGTGTGGCATTTCGTTTTGTCCCTTAAAGAGTGAGTCAGTAATGCTGCACCTTGGTTTCCTCTTGCTTGTGGCAGCACCAGCCTCCAGCATGTGCTCAGCTTGCTTCTAGATGGGTAGTCCATTTTTGGGTTCTGACTTGTCTAAGGGGCAGAGCTTCAAAACCTGCCTTCCCGTGTGCGACTTGTACTGGTCAAGGTGGGTACTGCTGGTGCCCCCTCAGCTGGGATGAGAGTTAGGTGCTGCAGGCTTGGAATGCTTATTCTTCTGAGCTGTAGAGGGTCCCACTGAAACGTTTGCTGAAGGAATTTAATGACCACTGCTGTTTAGATGGTAAGGAGCCTACCAAGCCCGTGAGAACAGTGTTTGCAGATGGGACACAAACCGGCCTGTGTAACTGGTTTAGAGTTGTCCGCATCAAGGTCAAGTGTTCTTTCCAAGATCAGGTGGTGAAAGGTGTCTCGCCCAGCACAGAGAAACTCCGCTCGGCGCTAGGCCAGGAAAAACGCCCCACGTTTTCAGACGCAGAACTGTGGGGAATAGCAGACTTAGCGTTGATGAAGATCTCAGTCCTGTGGTTCACACAGTAACTCCGTCACTGAGTGTCTTCTGTGTGTTTCACAATCTGCTTGAGAACAGCAGACAGAAACACTTTCTGAGGGAAGGGAGACACTTGGTCCTGCTGCCCCAGGAACATCACGCTGCTGCACGCCCGCTTTGGTGCAGCGGGGATGGTGGGCTACGGCTGGCTGCAGCAGGACCTGGGAGCGGTCCTGGGGATGGTCTGTGAGCTGCAAACGGACAGGTTCACAGGAGGGGTGTTGGGGCACTTGAGCTGCCTGCCCTGGGCTGTGCTCCAGCAGCGCACACAGAGCTGGAACGCAGACAATTCACGCTTCTGTCACCTTCTGCTCCCTCCCTTTTTTCTTTCCTGAGATTCTGTTGAGAGGGAGGTGGCGGGGAGCCACAGAGCAGGTACCAAAGGGGGGCTGGGAGCAAGAGGGAACCTGAGCTGCCCTGCAGCGGGAGACGTCCTGCGCATGTTGTCACTGAGCGACCGAAGCCAGCACAGGCAGCAGTTACAATTAGAGGGGGAAACTTGCCTGCGCCTGCCTGCAATGCCAGCTGGCTACTAGCAGGTGTTCTTCGTGGAGCAGGGGCAGTCTGACTTACGTTACCGTGTTTGCTTTTTTCCCCCTAGTACAATTACCAGAACGCTTGGAATTATGGACAGTATTATCATCCAACTTGATGCGAAGAGTGAGTGAAGTTCACTGTGCTGCAGTTTCAACAAAGACGGAATAAAAAAAAATATATTTTTCTAAATGAGGGACGTGAAAGAACTGTTGTAATACCTGCTTTTTTGGTCTTTTGCATGTGAAATGAGCTGATGTTCACAGGGTATGTGTGAAGCAAGATTTGTGTGCTGGTAACTGATAAATGGTATCTCTGTACAATTCTAGTTTACCATAAATGCATTTTTTTAATCCCCCACACTAACTTATGGAGATATCTGGAGAATTTTTTTCAGTCTCACGATTCCATAGACTTAATTAGCAAATCTGCAGGTTTTGTGTTTATCGTTTTTCCTAAGGCTGCTCTGCTGCCCAGCGTTGGCCACAGGCACTGAGCAGGCTGGACGCTGCCCGTTCAGGAGCTGGGCCGTGCTCTGCCGCTCTGCTCTCCAGCCAGAGCCTCCTGCCCTGCCCTTCTCACGAGATCCCTTTGCTGCCCCAGCCAGCACTCCTCAGACTGCTCCCTTTATGTTGCTACGATGGAAACTCTTCGGATGACGAGGGCAGCCTTTGGGAGCTGCACTATGTATTTTCTATTCCATGTGGGGGTCAAAAATTAAAATGCAGTGCAAAATGATGTTGCATTCTTTTTTAAAAAGCACAAACTGTGTGTGGGATGATTTTTGTATTTAGAGTTTTTCATGTACACAGTGTGAGCAAACTTTTTTTCATTTTGATCAAAGTGATCATTCTCATTTTTGTAATAAAAGCCAAGGAATTCAGTAGTCCTCTGAGCTTTCTTGGATTTCTTCGTTGAAGCCAGGAGTAAGGACGCCTGAGTCTCAGTTCAACGCCTGCTTTGTTCAAACAAACTGCTGCGGCTACGGCAGAGGAACTTCTGCAGCACGTGCGGTTCTCTGCTGGAAGGGAGGCATCAGCTTGCATTCCGTGAAACGCTTTGAAAGGAGAAATTCAGGGTGTGGGGTGGTTTTTTTCACTTAAGCAATGCCTAGAATATAAATGTGTAAACTTTTTCCTCTTCCCCTCTTCTAATATTTTGGGTTAATCAGAACTAAAACTCAGCAGCTACAGGGGAAGCATGGCTGAAGACCTGAGCCACGTATGGAAGTAAATGGTTTTCAGTAAGAGATCACTTGGTGCAGCAGGGATAATAAAAAGTTGTGGCACTTCCAGGGGTATCTACTTCACCTTTAACAGTTTGCTGGAGAACTGCAGTTGTCCCCGAGAGTAAGAGAAGGAAGGTTTAAGGTGATGGTATACACAAAAAAGTGAAGTCACGCACATGTATAAACTATGTTTTCTTTAGTGGTATGTTACTGTACAGGGAAAACAACTTGATTTCAATACAAGGCCACAGTTGTAACTATATCCTGAAGTTACAAGAGCAAAACTGCAGTTGCCAGAAGCTTTCTTGATCGTAAATAAATTCCCAGCAGCGAAGGAAACTTCATTTCATTCAATATCCACCAATTCCACTTCAAAGAAAAGTTTTGCATTTGGTGGAATCCTGTTTGCCCAAGTTAAGGAAGCTTTAAAAAAGCCACTGCAGCCCACAGTTGAGGCATCAGGGGTATGTGATTTACCACCTGTCCTGTTCCTCATGTGTCAGTTTTATATTTCACTGACCCTGTGTAACATCTTGGATTTAGTATGCAAGCACAGCTGCGCTCTAACAGAAGCTGTCACGAGACAGGCAGTGCCAGCCCTGCAGCTACACCTGTACTAAGAGATACTTCTCTTCATTCCTGTTCCTCTGAAGATGAGCAGCCAAGTCTTACCTGACCTGCCTAAGTGTCATCTCCATTTTTGGGACACAGGCACTGGGCTTCCTCTGGGGGGAGGTTAGGCTGGCTTACTGTACCACAGAGGGAAGAAGAATGTCTAGACCATCCTTTAAGTTACCATGATACAGAATACGAGCAAGGGAGAACAATCGTTTCCCTTCCTCTGGGAGCACTGGTAAAGAAGAAACATGACTGCACAAGGCACTTTGTGGGATCACTCACTCCATCCTCTATTTCCATGGTATCCCAGAACCAGTTCTCACCAGTGCTCCCCGCAAGAGTTCTTCAAAACAAATGGGCAATCGCACCCATCAATGAAGTTCACTGAATTTTTTCATAGTGTTAACAGTCTGAGCCTGCCCTGAGTAACAAGTGAATGCTCCCCCATTACAGCCCTGTCCATGATGCATGCTGGAATGAAGTGCTTTTCCCAGTTACTTAATGAGGAATTGATGGTAGAAGGATACTTGGCATCGGGCTGCCCTTTCTTGCCGTATGCCCACTCAGGTTCAATTTCCAGCTGAGCCTTCTCTCCTTTACTCATGGTTAAGAGAGCTTCATCCCACTACAAAAAAAAAAAAAAAAAAAAAAA